ACCCCTAGTGGGGCTTGAAGGCAAGGGTCCTTTAGAGGGGGCCTGCCATTGCGTCACGACCCTGGTGTTCCTTGGAGGTCTCCCATCCAAGTACTAGCCAGGAGGACCGGCCCCTGCTTAGCTTCTGAGATCTGATGAGATCAGGCTTGCTTGGCCTATCCAGGGCAGGGCAGGATCAGGCAGTTCTGTGTGCTCGTGCTTCCTGGCAATTCAGCTGTTTTTGTGATTTTTATTCTGCATCAAATTTTCCATTGTAAAGGGTGGATTTTGTATTGTTAGAAGCTGCCTTTTATTCTGTACTGAAAGTCTGTGGGGGAGAGCTGTGGCTCAGTTAGAAGAGCATCTGTTTTGCACGCAGAAGGTCCCTGCCACCCCCAGTTTAAAAGGACCAGGTTAATGGGCGCTGTGAAAGACCTCTGCCTGAGACCCTGGAGAGCTGCTACCAGTCTTGAGTAGACAGTACTGACCTCGATGGACTGATGTTCTGATTCAGCATTAGGCAGCTTACCATGTGCTGAACAGAAATATTTTGACAAATAGCCCACTCTTGAGCATTGCTGTGTCCTTCAACCCCACCAGGACATTGTCATCCAGGAAGAGGATGCGATTAGGCTGAAGATTGTTGGAACCCGAGTGGACAAGAACAATATTGTGAGTCTGTGTGGGAGGGAAGGGGCGGGGCGGAGGTGGCTCCTTGCTCACCTCCCCTGGTGCATCCAGCTGACTTCTGTGTGCAGGCATGACCACTTGCCAGCAGAGGGCAGTGTAGGTGATAACCCTGGGGGGGTGGAACCTGTCACAAGTGATGTGAGCTGCTCTCTTGCCTCTCTGCGCTTCCCATTGGTGCCTAAGTGGAGCATCGAGAGTGCGCGGTCATGCCCTGACACTGCCTGGCTTACAGTGCACACCACCGTTCACAGCCAGCCCCACCATGTATGTGCTACCATGGGGGAGGGGGTTTCCTGGGAGCATAATCAGCCCCACTCAGCAGCCGCCACCGAAAATGCCCTATTCCTGGTCATGACAAGTTTGATGGACCGGGGGCCTGGAACGTCCAGTAGATTTTGATTCCCCGACCGTAGTGCTCTTGGGGGGAACGTGTGGGGAAAGGCGGTCCCGTAAGTAGGCTGGTCCCTGTTCATATAGGGCTGTTCTTTCATGAGCAGTTCTCAAAAGAGCTCACAGGGTGTCTGTTGTGGGGAGGGGAAGGGAAAGGAGATTGTAAGCCGCTCGGAGACTCCTTTGAGTAGTGAAGGGTGGGGCATAAATCCAATCTCTTCTCAAATCCTACTGGAAACCAAAAAAAAGTGTGTATTTCTATTACTGTCACTGTAGTTGTTGCCACATCCTGACCCGAACCTCAAAGCCAGCTTTTCCTTGGTGACAATCAACGGGCATCTCTGCTTAAGGAACTACATGTCCCATGGTGCAGTGTGCGGCCACCTGCTGGTCAGGCCTATTCCACTGATGTGAAACCACAAGGGATGTTGCTTGGGAGTACAGGGGAGTATTTTCAGCGCCTTCCGCACACGGGCCATTGCTGAGATTTACTTTTTTACATTATGCTTAAAGTACATGAAAGGAGCCTCCTGTTGACATTTTAAACGAGAGAAGGTCAAATACGGTCTTAGAACATTTGTTATTTTGTGTTTGTGCTGTAATGCAGAAGAAAGTCTCCTTGTCACTCTACACCCATGCACTTGGTTGGTACTCCAGACAAGGCTGATTGTGACCCCCCCTCATGATGGGTGGGGCTATAATGCAAGTCTGATCCCTGGAACTTCCAAAGAAAAGGATCACAGGTAGCAAAACTGGCTGGCAAAGGCCCTTGTCTAAGAACTTCAGGTAGCCTGTATTGGTCTACACAGACCACTGGTTTGAGTTGGCATGCTCCTACGGCATTCGGTTCCTATAGAGTTTTGTCAGAGGTTAACGGATTTCCACTGTGCTTTCTGTTGCAGTTTGCAATCGGATCGCTCATGGATGACTACCTTGGTAAGTTTCCCCCCTGGTATTGCAGGTTGGGAAGGACCCATGCTGTGCCATGCACGGTGTATATAGTGCTGGCGATCCCTTTTGGACAAGGATTCAGTATATTGGGGAGGGGGAGAATGAGCTCATTATATGACCTGGGGTGGGTGGGAATTGAGGAAATCAAAAGGGGGGGGGAAACAGGATTACATAGCGATTCTCTAATTACAATGTTGCGATGGCCACTAGTGTAGATGGCCTTGGACATGGACCTCCACATCCAGAGGCAGTCTACTGCTGAAATATCATTTGCTGGGGGAAAGCGAAATAGATACTGACTATTTTGCTCTTTGTATGCGCCTCTGGAGGCATACAGCTAACTGCTGTTGGGAGTGGAATGCCACACCAGATGGCCTAATCTAACAAGGCAGTTATTTTCTTGACAACTTGTTCAGCCAAATGACTTGGAAGTGTATCTCAAGTGCTGAGTAATCAAATGTTTTGAGTCTCCAGTGGGCTCTTTGGCTAGCAGTTTCCTACAGGTGTTAATCTTTGCTCTCTCTCTAGGTCTGGTCAGTTGAAGCTCCCAATTCCTGGATCTGTTTTCCTTCTCCTCGGTTCCAACGTTCCAACACAGTCCTTGGCTCCCTGTGGAGGAATCTGGCTTGTAGCTCTCCTGTCCCTGTATTGACAGCATTGAGGTCTCTTCTCTGGCAGCCGGGAAATGAAGGCTGGCCGCGTACAACTCTGTTTCTTCATTAAAATGTTTGTTTTGTGATTAAAATGGCTTAATCCTTTGTACCTCTTTTGCTCTTTGTCTTTGCCCTCTTCCTTTTCATTGTTGACTTAAGAAGCCCGTTCTCAAACTATGATTTTGTAGCTCTTGCTGCCCTCTAATGTTGGTGTCTGCATACTGAGGGGAATCCCTG